CCCATGAATTGTTTGGTGTTTACTTGAACTTTTTGTAATTTTATCACGGATTAGATCGTCATTTCCACTTTACTCTATATTTTGGGTGCATCGGGGTGTATTGAATCGCGCAAGAAAAAAAACAATGGGACCATCATTCCTTCTTGATCGTAATTAATCAAAACTATAACAAAATTCTCGAACGTGATCGGTTATCACCCGCCCCATTTGAGCACTAATCAAAACCATAACAATATTCTCGAACGTGATTGGCTATCACCAGCCCGATTTGAGCACTAAGAGGACAGTGTAAGTGTCATACTTGTAATTGGACGGTGCACTACGACAGTTGAAGGGACAGTTCACACATCCTGCCTGTGCAAGTGGACAGAAAGCATCATTTGCGCGAGCTGTTGTCTCGCATATCGTCTAGTTAATGTTTTTTTTTTTTTTATGAAAAAGTGCAACCGATATCTTTCTCAAATTTTGTCATAGTTTTGATTAATTGGTAACAGGATTTCGTGTCGTCCAATTTTGTATGTAATCATATTCTTGATAAACAAATCGGACTCCCGCTTCGCGGTCGTCCGATTTTGTCAACCCTCATATGATTACAGACCGAATTGGACTCCACTCCGTTCTATCACCATTATTTAAAAAAAAATACTGGACTTACCCCAAAATACAGGCATCATAAGTCACTGAGACAACAACTTAAGAACCCACCAAGCACCAAATATGAATAAAAACCAGCCATATTAGGTGGAGATTTTGCTTAGAGTTGTGTGGTACGAACAATTTTTTTTTCAGTTTTTAGCATTAAGTGGAAAGGGAACCCAACTGATATTTGTCTCTTGATTAGCCTGTTGGTAATAAGAGATCTGAATTTAATTTTTTGTGCTTAGATTGTCTCAAGATTTGAGCGTCCATGAAGACTACTTAAAAGCAAGTCATGTATTAGAGCTTGCTGATGCCGTCAGAAATCAATCAAGTAAGTAAATGAGATAAGCCTTTCTGATTTCTTTAACGAGGGGTCACCATAGTGCCCTTAAGGTAATTTCGAAAGTTCCCAGAATAGAAGGAAATTGATAATAAATATCTCTAAAGAAACGCTCACCATTGCGAAATTGCGAAGACTTGAGAAATTTACAGTGAATGAATTCTCCCATTTGAATTTAGAGATGCTTCTCTATACACATCATTAAAGCAAATCCTGGTTTATTTAGGAGACGCGTGCCAAATTGCAAAGAACGGCATTACATGGCAATAAGTCCATCTGTGAGCTAAAGCCAACTTGATCATGATC